AGTATAGAAAAAGTTTCCATAGTTTCACTCGGGATTAACCGGGTGTTTACTTGTATTCTCCCCCGTAGTATGTTCAAAAGCATTTATAAAACATTTAAAAGTGCAGCTGCTACTGCAGCCGTGATGGCAGCCTGCACTATGGTTGGATCATAAGCTAGAGGTGGTGGTGGCGGTGTTGATGTTGCACAGTGTCTTCCTGATCTCCGAGGAGGCATCGCGCTGCTAAAGAAATAACAATAAAAGACAATAAGTACTCGATGATCGGAAGCCGAGTGTTAATGAGTTGACTATTTTCAACAATCTATGAATTTGGTTCGACTTAAACAGGGTTTTGAGTTCAGTTCATAATTTAGAGTTTAAATATTAATAGATAAACTTACGAACTTGAGTGGAATGCAAAGAATTAACACACAAAAGAAATATGTCATATATATATATATATATATATTAAACATATGCTTGGGTTACATCCGAAGTTAGGAAAAATTGACCTTTCTAAAGGTCTTCGATTATAGGAAGTTAAAGAAAGTAAGACTTTTAGCCGATGGTCCTATTCTATATCAAAATTTGGCAGTCTGGCAAGTACTACTTGCGACGCGGGTTACGCTTGGAGCTTGACTCTGCGTCTGATTGCTTCTCTCTCACTGGCAAGTACTACTTGCGACGCGGGTTACGCTTGGAGCTTGACTCTGCGTCTGATTGCTTCTCTCTCATAAGACACCTGTCAAAGGCGGCTTGCTGCTCCCTCATCTCACTCTGCGTCTGATTGTTGCAGTCAACTGCTCTTGGAGGGTGTCGGTGTGTAGTTGAGCATTTTCCTGCAACATGTCCAGGCGACGGATATCAGCAGCGTTACCTTCCACCCCTATGTTGACTTCTCAAATCCGGTTCACTTGGACTCCGAATTGGTAAGACTGGTTGGCTAGTTTTCCCACAACGACAGGGAGTGATCGGTCAGCTGAACTTCCACCACTGACGTTGTAGAAGTCCCGACACATGCCGTAGGGAGGGCGCAATCCTTGTTGCTGGCTCCAATGGTGGATGTGGCTTCCCCAGACGGGAGTTGGTCCCTAGAATCCCATCCTAACAGCAGGAGGTTGGACGGCTGGTGGATTGATTATCTCTGGTTCAGAGTCTGACTCTTCCTCTTCCTCCTCAGGTTCGTCTTCCACCCATCCACCGTAACCTTGATTGGGGTAGTAGGGGTCTCCGGGGTGATGGAATCCAGCCATTTGAATCTATACAAGAATAGGGTTAAGAATTGACTATAAACTAAAGCGCGTAAATTGAGTTCGACTGTTTTTGTTACCAAATACTACTATAATATTTTAAATGTTATGTTTGACTTAAAGAGATTATGCTTTTGGTAAGTTTTCAACTTGTTGTCCACTGCAGACACTCCTTGGCACATGTTAGTTGGCTCTCGGACAAATATAGTAGATCAGACTATATTCATCCCAGTTCCGATTACATGTTCCAAGGCATACCTACATTGCACAACTCATTTATAATACTTCTATATTGTTATTATTAAGATACTGACCTTGATATGAAATGAATGCATGCATACTTTTAAAAGATTTCATTTGTAAAAGCATGACTCTCACTCAGAGTGTTTTTGCCCAGTTGTGTTTATATTTGTATACCAAAAATAGATTTGATATACTTAATTCACTACAAACAATGCTCTGATACCAATCTGTCACACCCCCAAACCTGAACGGCGGAAACGTTCGTGGGCGGAGGACGTCATATTCAATATCATAACAATTGCATAGTAAGGAAAGTACACACCACTATATTATATAATTTGTAAAGTTTACATGATTGTAGTGGTTACATATTCAAAAGTAAATACATAAACATGTTCCCAAAAGATGTTATTATCGCCAGAGCGTAAATCTCCAAAAGTTGTTGCGTACCTGGCTTAGCGGTTTCCTGAGAATACAAGTTATTTCCAGAAAAAGTGTCAACAATTAAGTTGGTGAGTTCATAAGTAGTGTTTTGAGAAAATATATGCCATTCGAAAGTTCGTGTATGTTTTCCAGAAAATCCCTTATTTTCTTATAAATGTATGAAATGAGTATGAAAAATCTTTGTATGAATTGTATGTATTTGAACCAGGAAAATCCCTTATTTTCCCAAATGTGAATAGCAGTGTCAAATGACCAAGACCGAAAAGGTAAGCAACTGTGACATGCTTAAAAGAATGATGTATAGTTTTATAACATAAAACTATAAGAAGATTGTTATTGAAATCAAAAATAACATTAATAGTTACTTTTCCCAAGAAATCACAATACGATAATAATTGTCTATCCAGTGAGTTTTATAACCATACTATCATATTTGCCTGTAGCAACGTTCTTTAGGCATCGTAAAGTTATGACACTTGTCACCCAAAGGACTGTAGCTAACAGTCAGGATGCGGGATCATGACTCCCGTATAGATCTATATACACTTATCACGTTCTCCAGACGGGAGATTCTGGTTATAAAACAGGACTTTTGAAGGTACCTTTCAAAAAGGTAGATTGAACACGAATGTCTCACGGATTCTCAATTAAGTCACGTATTGAAAATGATGATTTTGTATGACATGATTATCCTTTTTCTGAATTAAAACAAAGGCATAATTTGTGTGTTCTTGAATGCATAAAAATGGTTTAGCAAGAATGGTTACCCTTGATATGATGCATTTTTGTATAAATGAGGCTCCCAATATTATAGTTTCGTTTCATTCCATAAGGTTAAGACCAAGTAAAAGGTTTTGCATGTTAACGATTGCATTTTTATAGATAAGATAATCACATGCAAAGTATAGCAAAAGTTTCCATAGTTTCACTCGGGATTAACCGGGTGTTTACTTGTATTCTCCCCCGTAATATGTTCAAAAGCATTTATAAAACATTTAAAAGTGTAGAAATGGGGGTATGAACTCACTTGGTTAAAGTGTCGGTTTGATGAAGACGAGACTTGATTCAGACAGAGTTTCGACTGGAGGAAGCGGATTTCTTGGGAATCTCGGGAGCGTAAAACCTCCTCCGGGACTTGAATATGAAAACCGGGATGTCTGGATGGCTTCGAGGGGGTTAAACGCAGAGCAAAAGCGCATGAAAGAGAGGAATTGAGCAAAGAAACCCAGAGCCCTTACACCGTTTTTATAGGGGCTGGAACCCCCTCGTACGCTGGGCGTAACGAACGTCATCGCTTACGTACTTTGGATGGGAGGTCCGATGGGAGGTCTGTTGGCCGAAGGGACTACGCCCTTATCGCCTGGTACGCTGGGCGTAATCCTTTACGCGGGGCGTAAATGGATTTTCCAAACTTCTAAATTCCGTAACTCTCGCATACGAGCTCCGTTTTTAGCGTTCTTTATATCCACGCGTAGGTGAGACTGTACTCTACAACTTTTATTTAGACTCTGTCGCCTAGTTTTGAATTTATCTTTAATAATACATTTTTAACAGGCCGGGACTGGAAAAGTCCATTAAAAATCCGTAACTTCGTCACCCGACGTCCGTTTTCGTCTGTCTTTTTACCGTTGTATTACTATTGTCGAGGTCTTTAACTTTCGTTTAGGTTGTGTTGGCTAAAAATTGCTCGATCTCTATTTCGAGTTTTTAGCTGTCTACTGCCATTTCGAAACTTCGAAAAATCATAACTTCCTCATACGAAGTCAGATTTGGGCGTTCTTTTTATGTACGTTTACCGTTTAACAATATCTACGACTTTCGTTTAGATACCTAAGGCTAAAAAGTATTTTATTGAAATTTTTTCGTTTTATTCTTAGCAACGTTTTACCGGTATTGTTAAGGATCTTCGATTGACCATAATTTCTTCGTTATAACTCGGATTTTAGTGTTCTTTATATTTTTGGAAACCTTATTACGATATCTACCACTTAGTATCCTCAAACTGAGCTTTTTGAACATTTCATTTTTGACGCTATTTTTATTACTTCATAAAGATATTACAATAGTTGACTTTCAGTCATTACATTGACCTGGAATAACGGGTTGTTACATTTGTGAAGTAATGAAGGGGGTAAAATTAGCATTAAAAGAAACTTAATTTGTGAAGGTATCTAAGGTTAGGAAAGAAAGGAGAAAGTTCAATGTCTAGGGACTAATCCTTAAAAATTCGTCCATAACCCCCCCCCCCCCCCAACAAGAAAAAGTTCAAAGCCTAGGACCAAATTGGCATTACAAGAACCTTAATTTGTGAAGATACCTCCAAAAGTTTTTTTGCAACTGTTCTAGCCTTTACGCACGGATTAATGGATTAATCTCAAAATCGATCCTTTGCATCGCTCGACAGCAGCATAGGAAAAAAAAGGCGAGGTAGGGTGGAGAAGGGAAGAACGAACTGAGAAGAGAGGGGGAAAGAAGGGTCTACAAGTGTCGATTCTTGAAGGTATGTTGAGGCTGCGAAATCGACTTATACAATCCGGTAGTTCCTTTCTTTAACTTGTCTTTTGATTTCCGGTTTCAATTGCTAGTGATTGGATTCAAGCGATCTCATTCTTCTTACTTCCAATCCTTGATATGTTAGGTGATTAATACCCAGCCACGTTTTGTGTGTTTTTGATGGGTGATTGCTGTTAAAATATAGTTAAGAACACTCTCATATATGTGGTAATTGGTGAGTAAGGATTGGTTAGAATTGTAGAATAATTTTCTTTCTATTTTCTCTTTCGTATCTTCGTTCATGATTTCTTTTGCTCCAATTCTCATAGATTCTTGTGTGACGTTTTTCTATAAAAAGACCATGTTTTGAAACCTCCAAAAGGTCTTCAAAATAGTCCTTTAAGGTTTCATATGTGGCTTAATGGTGAAGGAAACTCAAGCCCTTTATGGTGTTTTTTCTTTTAGCAATGTTTGAATCTGCAAGAAGTATTATGAGTTGGCTTGGTGATTGTGCAAAGGTATAAATTTTATATATTTATAAGATAAGATTAATACGTTTATTGATTTTATAAATTTTGATTGGTTATAGCAATGAAAAACAATCCAGTACAATGGACAACTCCTATTGGACTTCCTGTTGTTCAACCATACCGCAAATTAGGAAGACATCTTGTGAGTTCTTTTAGTATGTCAAATTGTCAAGTAAAGTCCCTGTATTTTGGCTTTTTGGCTAATATGAGCCAAAACTTTTTTGTTGTTTTTTTGAAATGTGTAGATTAAGACATCTCTTCAAGTTTTGACACTACAACGAGAAACCGATAAGGTTATATCTGCAACATTTTCTTTATTTTGCTAAATGCAAGAAAAATAACTTTTTTTTGTTATAAAAGGTGATGGTGAAAAGACAAAGAACAGCCTTTCCTCCTAACTTGGTCCACTCTCTTGATGGGTCCCACATGATGATGACAGCCATTGCTTGTAAAGAGGCTGGCTTAAGTTTTGCAGGTTCAAAATCATTATTATTTCATATATTTTATTTCTTCGTTTTTTTTCCATTAAAAGTATATAAATTAAAATCCCATTTCAACTCCGCTTGATTCAACCATGAAAAACCCTAATTCTACTCTCCTTAAAAGTAAATGGAGTCCTATTCCAATACCCCATAGAACTATCCTTGAACCCAAAGGTCAAGATCTTGATTACATCAACATAGCTCACAGTCATCTTCTTCACTCTGATTGGGCTAAGCTAGATAAATTATTAACCAAATCTAATTCATTACGAGTGAAGCACATTCTGTTAAAGCTTCAAAACGACTACGTCATTTCCCTAAAATTCTTCAAATGGATTGAGCTTCACAACCCTAGTTTACTCACCCTCGAAACAAATTCCATCATCCTTGACATCCTCACCAAGAATCGTAAATTTGTGTCAGCTGAATCCATTTTAAAGAAGATCATCGGTTCTTGTTCTTATGATGTAAACCACCATTCTAAGCTCTTCGATGCTGTTATTCACTCTTATCGAATGTGCGATTCCACACCCCGTGTGTTCGATGCCCTTTTCAAAATGTATGCACAGATGAAGTAGTTCAAGAATGCAAGAAAAATATTTTGTCGTATGAAGGAATACAGATTTCTTCCCACCATTGAATCATGCAACATGTATATGAGTTCACTGCTTAGTTTCAATCGAGCAGACATCGCGTTACAATTTTACAACCAAATGAGAAGATCCAAGATCACAATCAATGTGTTCAGTCTCAACATGGTGATGAATGCTTATGTTCAATTAGGGAAACTAGAGAATGCAGTCCAAGTGTTCGATGAAATGCAAGGTATGGGAATGAACCCTTTTGTCTCCTCCTACAATACATTGATCACTGAATACATCAACCAAGGCCTTTTAACAACCGCAATCAAGTTGAAACTTACAATGGAGAAGAATGGAATAAGCCTAAATGCCATAAGTTACAACAGAATAATCCATGGATTTTGTAAAGAATGGAAACTACATGATGCTTTTAAAGTTTTCCATGAAATGAAAAGGGTAAATATGGATCCTAATACTGTAACTTACAACACATTAATCACAACTTGTTCCCAATAAGGTAAAATCGAAAAGGGTAATTAGATTTTTCAAGAAATGATAAGAACCGGGGTCAAACCTGATATTTTGACTTATAACTCATTGTTGTTGGGACTTTGTAATGAACGAAAAACCAAGAAATCTGCTTATTTAGTTAAAGAACTTGATAAAAAGAAATTAGTACCAAATTCTTCAACATTTTCTGCCCTAGTTAAAGCCCAATGTGCTCGAAAGAACCCAGATCGTGGTTTTCAACTTTATAAAAGCATGGTGAAAAGTAATTTTCGTCCAAATGAAGATACTGTGAAGATGTTGATTTTATCATTCTTGCAAACGTATGATTATGATGGTGCTTTTGGTGTTTTTAAAGAGATGTTAGAGAGGCCTATTGGGTCTGATTTGGTTGTTTTGAGTGGGTTGTGTAAAGGGTTTTCAATAGCTTGGAAATATAGGTTGGTTATGGATCTATTAAGCGAGGTTGATAATGGGTGTTTTAGTTATGAACGTTATGAGAAAGTTAAAAGCATTATTTGTGACTCTAATAATGCAGGCAAAGAACTTGAAGAAAATGTGTAACTTGATTTATTTAATCATGACAAAAATGAATCCGAATACAGAATGTGTGTGGGAGCAAATAATGCGTTATACTTCGTAATGTATATTCAATAAAGCTTTAAAAGTTTTTGACGTATATCGAATTAAAGATTGATATTTGTGCTATCTATATCTATGCTTCTATACGTCTATATATATATATATATATATATATATATATATATATATATATGTATGTATGTATATATATATATATCTATATCTATACATCTATACAATTATATAAAGCATATTGCTTCTTTCTTGAAAATTTAAGAGGCATAAGTTTCACATCTTAATGTACACATCAACTTTGTATATAAACTACTATGTGGCCATGATGCTTAAAGTAATAACTCCAATCTATATAGCTTGCTAAGCTTAACTCTATAAATAGTTTTGAAGTAGAAGAAATAATTATGTATGTAGCAATTGACTTTTTTATTATTTTATTTTCAAATGTTTATGTTTATATTCTACCATATACACAAAGTACAATGCTATGTATGGTTACGTCTGTTTTAGATACAAAAAAGGAATGGGTTATGAAGGTTGTGAAATCATGGTTGTAGTTTTCTTGGTCTTGATAGATTTGTACTCTATATATTAAAGATAATAATATTTTGCAAATTTTAGTTTTATTTCACATTAAATTATTAGTTTTATTGAAATTGGTAGTTATTACTTGTATAATCTTGGTGTATAAAGTATATGCGTTGTTTTATTTAGATCACACCCCATTTTGAACACATATGTGTTCTTTTATTTATATGTGTTATTGTGAGGAGGTTTAAAAATTATATTAGTCGATTATTTCAGACTTGAGAGCTCTTAGTTGTTGAGGATATTGATAGTTAAAGAATTAGTAACCTCAATTTTGTAATCTTTCATGCATTTGGTTCATAGGAAATTGAATAATTGAATGTAATTTAATTTGTTCAATGTTTCTAACTATATAAAATTATGTATTTTATTTTGTTTGGGTAGATGGACTTCCATTTATCCTTTTGTTTTATTGATTTAGAAGAAATGTTGGCTTAGAAATTAAATATTAAATATCTTTGATCTTTTTTTTGAACAACAATGAAGTCTTTGTTGATGTTTGGATTGATTGTGATAGATAAATAATAAGAGTAGAATTTATTAATAGATAAAAGATATAGCATCTTAATTACTTTTCATTTTTAATTATTTTTTTGTCAAAGAAAAAAAATAATAAGTTAAATATTTTGTGGAACACCTTTGTTAATTTTATTAAAATAGTCAATTTAAGCTTTATAAAAATAAATGATATCTATCGATGGGTAGAGATCCTTACACGGTAACTTTTCCTTATAGACAAACTATTTATGTTTTATGAAGTTGTGCAATACAAATATTTAAAACGTAAATACCAATATTTAAAACATAAAGAGTTATATACAGATCACTCTTTATCTATCCTTTATATATCTTTTTAGCTGGTTAGTGGTAATTTTTTCTTTTGTAATGTGTAATCGACTTTTCATTCAACTGATTTCAACATACAACTTAATACCAATGTACAATAATAACTATTAGTTATCAGTGTCTTTATCTAAATGACTATTGTCTAAGAATAAAAAAAAACTTAAAGCGTTATATAAATTGAAATTGAAGTATAATAATGACTACTATTAATTTATATGATTTTTGAAAACTGACTATCATTTTTATTAACTTAGAAAATAATTTCAAAAGCATAAACCACAAAAATTATTTTATTAAAAAAATAAGTAGATTATTTTTAATCATTTATGGGTAATTAGATTTTTGAAGAAATGATAAGAACCGGGGTCAAACCTGATATTTTGACTTATAACGCATTGTTGTTGGGACTTTGTAACGAAGGAAAAAACAAGAAAGCTGCTTATTTGGTTAAAGAACTCGATAAAAAGAAATTAGTACCAAATTCTTCAACATCTTCTGCGCTAATTAAAGCCCAATGTGCTCGAAATAACCCAGATCGTGGTTTTCAACTTTATAAAAGCATGGTGAAAAGTAATTGTCGTTCAAATGAAGATACTGTGAAGATGTTGATTTTATCATTCTTGCAAACGGATGATTATGATGTGCTTTTGGTGTTTTTAATGAGATGTTAGAGAGGCCTATTGGGCCTGATTTGGTTGTTTTGAGTGGGTTGTGTAAAGGGATTTCAAATGCTAGGGTGCAAAGTCATGCTTGGATGTGGAGTTTTGGGCTTTCCCTTTTGTATGTGTAAATGGGTTGAGTCTTTCCTATAAATAGGAAGTGAGTGACTCTCATTATGCAAGGAACCATTTGGAGTGTTAGACTAGAGAGAGAAACTTGTACAAACCCATTTGTATATCCTTTCTAGATCTAATATGAGCTTACAAAGATTTATTTACTCCTTATGTTCTTGAGTTTACATGATGATTCACTAGATCTTTTCTAATTTCGCACATGCCATCATAATCAACACCACTACAATTGGTATCAGAGCGGGTGTTCTTGATTTGATCAGGAATTGATCCATGGTGGCAATCTTGATTTGGTGATTCTTCATGTTCTTATTGATCTTCGTGATTAAAGAGTGTTGTGTGTTCTAGAAGTCTAATTTTTCCTTTATTTGATCCATAATTCGACTTTCTCTCTCTAGAATACTTGTTTATATCACTTTCCCTCTCTAGAAAACCCATTCAAAATCACTTTCTCTCTCTAGAAATTTTCAAGTTTTTGTGATCATGGTGGATTTGTCGTATGATTCTTGGATTGTGATCGTTAAAGATATAAAATACAAAGTCAATGAAGATCAATTTTATGGGTTGGTGTTAAGCAAATTGATTTCATGGGGTAATATGGTTTCTTATGGAGGTTTGAAGGATGATCATGGAAGCTTGATTTTTCAACCACTTTGTAAGATTTCATGGTTGAATAAAATTGCCTTGTCCATATTAGTCCGTAGTAGAAATCAAAAGGAAGGAGAAGAAAGAGATTTGTTCAATAAGAAATACATTTCTCTAATTGAGAACCCAAATGATCTTCGTGCTCTTAAGTTTGTTGAAGTTCTTGACAATGGAGTTCAATGTGATGTTCTTGATGTTCAAGAAAAAGGAGTTCAAGTTGATTTTCATGATGAAAAAGTTTTTTGCTCGATTGGAGTTCAAACCGATGATATTTTGTGTTCTTGTGATTCGTTTGAAGGAATGGTTCCTTATCGGAAGTCGGTGATCCAAGAAATTCACAAGTATATCAAACTCCAAAAGATTTGATTCAAACTCAAGAAGTTGTGAAAAGTGGGTTTGTTCATGGAGTCAAGTCTTCAAGATGCAAAAAGATGAGAAAGAAAAAGAAGAGGAAGATTAATCGCAAAAACAAGCGGGTTTACTCACAAAAATCGTCAACTGTTGTGAAGCCGAAATCCGTGAAGCAAAATTGGGTTCCAAAGCAACAATCTCCAAAGGTTGCATTGAATTTGAAGTCAAAACCCAAAAGTGTTGGTGGTTCTTTTGAAGATGTTCTTGGTTTGATGAAGAACACGAAGAACACGAAGAACGAGTTGTACATCTCGCATAATGGGTGGTACAATGTTCAAATTGGATATTTTCTCATTCCAACAAAAGAACAAAGATCTTCTAAATTTGATTCATTTGTTGAAAACGGAACTCGATTCATCAAAAAGGTATCTCAAATTTTCAAATGGATTCCAAAACATCCATGATTTCGATTCGTACTTTGCGTTTTTCAATTTTTGATCGATTTGTCTCATTGGATCAAATCCGTTTCTATTGCTGATCCAATTATTTTTTTAGATCAAATCATTCAATCAAAATCTGTTTCAATTTTTGAGCCCAAACATTTAGCCTAAATTCATTTTGGATTCATTTCATTTGATTCAGCCCAATTCAAATTGCATTAGCCCAAGTCAA